ATATATATATATATATATATATATATATATATATATATATATATATATAATATATATATTATATATATATATATATATATATATATATATATATATATATATATATATATATATATATATATATATATATATATATATATATATATATATATATATATATATATATATATATATATATATATATATATGCATATATATATATATATATATATTTATATAGATAAAATTGATCGAATCCCCTACTTACAGACGTTCTTCGAGGCCATTGCAATCGGGGTCATCTGCTGCTACTACGACACTGAGGAGGTTATGATGGCCTTTGGAATCACTTGTTTCATCACCATCGGAATCACCATCTTCGCAGCGCAAACGAAGATCGATTTCACGCCTATGGCGGGCGGTCTGTGCCTGTGCTTGTTCGCCCTCTTAGGTATTGTGCTAGTGCTAGTGCATATTGGTATACATGTAGTCTACGCCGGCATAGGTACGAAGTATACATGCCGTAAGAATGTATTTTAGGTAATACACGTTCTACATATCATATCTACGTACACGGAACATACGCTTTTTCTCATAATGTAAGTTATGGGTCAGACTGGACAAATATCATTTTTACGTTCATGAAATATATGCTTTTTCTTATATTGTACGATATGGGTCAGACTGGAAAATATAATATTTTTGTGCGTACCACATATATCCACTTACTGTTTTGAATGCTGTGTCGATGTGATGTACACGCCCAGTATACAACACGTGGTATCTACAGCGTGCATGGACACGCTTGAGTGCATTGTACACGAATTGATGCATACTCGTTCGTGCAGGGATGAAGTTGCACTCGGTAGCCGAATGTATAAGGGACAAGCGTTAACGGACACAGGCACACGCATAAATGACGCATATCAAGTATTCAAAGTTATACGCATAGTTTAGACTCACATCCGGTATCAAGTTTTTAATATGTACGTCTACATATCCATTTTGTGATTGTTCCAAGACACATACATCTGCTCAGACGCGCAAAGAATTTTTCTTCCTGATTCTCATTTTGAAATCGGCATGATCATTTTTCTTCTTCTTCACTATCTGTGCCGAAAACAATGCTATGAAATGTCGGTCGTTCCACGCCAGATTCACTGTTTGATGTACTTTGAATACGTTGCAGTAGCGAATTTTCAGGCCTCACTTCAGTTGATAGTATTTAGCGTTTAATGCATGGCCCATTTTATTGACATGTGTGGTTCTTTCGGTCCATTTTCAGGTTTCGGCTTCTTCTGCATTTTCTTCGGCGGCCAAGTGACGCATATTATCTACTGTACGATTGGTGCCATCCTTTTCGGATTGTTCTTACTGGTGGATACGCAGAGGATCATGTATGTTGAGCCCAACCCCCCTTCTCTCCACACATATTCCAGCTGTCTACAACATGTGCTTGAGTATACATGTGTATACTCACATACAAAGTCTTATATTGCAGTTGTGTGATGTTTCCTTACTTTGATTGGTTTTGCCCTAGTGCAGTCCCTCAGCCCTCAGAAGTTGAGCCACGGTTGTTGTTGTATACACTATTGAATGTGCTCCTAGTTACACAGTCCTCGCACCGATTACGCGATAGTGTTGAGTGCATTGCGTCAAGGCATGTTAGAAAACCGAAGGGGCCCATATAGGTACACAGCGTGAATAGACGTCCACGGAACATGTTTTCAATTCCTATTTGAATCTTCAATCGTACAAACAAAAAAGTATACCTGTATGTGCCTTGCTAACATTTCGGTCTCATTGGACTCACAGGGGAGGAAAGCATAAGCAACAGATACATCCCGAGGAATACGTCTTCGCCGCCCTAAATTTGTTCCTGTATGTCTGACAAGTCTGAATCTATTGTTGTTGCTCTGTATCGTGTTACGTAAGATGTGTGTATTGTGGCAGGGCTGGTTTATATATATATATATATATATAGTGTGTTGGATCCTTACTCAGTACACTGGTTCTATTTCTTTTTTGCTATCTTCACCTGTTTTTTTTGTCACTCTGAGGTTGAAATCATCTAGTTAGTACCTCCCACATATTGTGCATGTTATGTATTGCCTTGTTTGTATACGCTCTTCCCTTGACCTGGTACGGGTCCCAAAGCTATTGTCCCGTCGTAGTGTTTATTGTCTCCTTCTGGATACGAGTGTTGGCGCATGTATGGTTGTTTGTTCTCAAGTCTGTTGTATACACATTGTCTACTAGTTATTTATGTATATGCCTGGGCCTCACGCATTACGTTCTGTGAATACTTTACTGAGGGCGTTGCCTACATGAGGGTACTGACCGCCGACTGATCATTATATCTCGAGAATATCACGATTTTATTATTTCTCAACTATATTCTCAATTTTGTTTCTTCCTTAGGGACATCATCAATATCTTCCTAATGATCCTGCAGGTATGTGCCGTTGAGGAACAGCATTTCGCTATAAAGACCTGTGCATCTGTACCGTTGTTTATAGCTTGTTGGTAGCCGTGATTTTACTGTGTTTGCATAGATTAGTGGTAGATCTCTGCCTCTAAGTTTTTGTTGACTCTATTTGGAGGCTCATTCGCGCTTGTATCTATGCCTGCTTTTTTCGTAACTGAATACACTCTATTTAAGAGTACGTACCTGTTTCTGTATTATGTATATGTATATGTATATGGATACGTATATATGTATATGGGTATGTATATGTACATGTAATGTATATATATATACATATATATATATATATATCGTGTGTGCGTGTGTGAGTGTGTTATATATATATACTATATTATATAGTATATATATATATATATA